ATCCGATTTGGGCCTCATTTGCCTGTAGTGTGCTGTCTGCTAGTAAAGTATCTCATAAACCATGAAATATCTTTTTCCATGAAATATTTTAAGGTTTACTGCTTGATTTAAACAATGCTTCAAAATGTTAACACATAGCTCACACAGTTCTTATTTAAAAGAATATTGAGAATTTATGGTGCGTGGTTACAAAATGTTAATTGATGGAATTTTAGTGTTGTGGTACATATCCCAAAAACCTCTTTATCAATGCAGTCCAACATTTGCAACACGGAATCCATCTTTGCATTTTTAACACAATCATTAAAACCACACAGCTCATCATGTTCCAATCTAGAAGCTTGTGTTCTTTCAATTCAATTCAATTCAGTTTATTTATATAGCGCCAAATCACAACAAAGTTGGCTCAGGGCACTTTACAGAAACATTCACAAACATAAAAGCCAATTAGTAAAGTTCTCCATCTAAGGAATCCAGCAGACAAGTTGAATCTTGGTTTTGTTGCAGTCTCCCATCCTGAGCAAGCACAGTGGCAACAGTGGAAAGGAAAAACTCCCTTTTAAAAGGAAGAAACCTCCAGCAGAACCAGGCTCAGGACAAGCGCCCATCTGTTTTGACCGGCTGGTTGAGAGGACAGGAAGGAGAGACAGACGGACACAGAATAGTAGGTCCAGGTATAGGTCGAAGTGTATCTGAAAGACAAAAAAACACACACAAGGATAGAAAAAATAATTACAAATACAAAATAGGTTGAGCAGAGTAAGTAAAGACAGTAGCAGAGTGAAAAGTGTGGTCAGTTTGTCCTCCAGCAGTCTAAGCCTATAGCAGCATAACTAAGGGACAGCTTAGGAAACCCAAGCTGACTCTAACTATAGGATTTAGCAAAAAGGAAAGTCTTATACCTAGTTTTAAAACTGGACAATGTGTCAGCCTCACGGACAGAGATTGGAAGTTGGTTCCACAAGAGAGGAGCTTGATAACTGAAGGATCTGCCTCCCATTCTCTTTTTGGAAACTCTAGGAACTGCGAGTAAACCTGCAGTCTGAGAGCAAAGTGCTCTGTTAGGAAAATATAGAACAATAAGATCTGTAATATAAGATGGAGCTAGGTTGTTGAGAGCTTTGTAGGTTAGAAGTAAGATTTTGATTTATATTCTGGA